CTGCCAAGGTCGCTCTTGCAGGTGCCACGGTTGTTGAACGCAGCCGCTTCTTTGGGATCCAGCTCAATGGCCTTGTTGTAGTCCTCCATGCCCGCCTCGTGTCTGCCAAGGGCACTCTTGCTGACACCACGGTCGTTGAATGCAGCCACGTCTTTGTGATACAGCATGACCTTGTAGGAATAGGCGTACCTGATCAGGTCTTTGTTGTTGATGCTGTGGGTGGGGCGAGTGGCCGCAACATTCATGTGGCTTTGCCGTCCTCAATGACGTCACCAGCTACATCAAATTTTTGAGCAAGGTTCCGGCTTCCGTTGCATGATTTCATGATTCGCGTCAGGACTCTCACATACTCTCACCACCTCTTCTAATCCACCATCTTTCACCTCCAGAATCTCACTCTAATCATTCCCCCGCCTGACCAGCGTACGTCGCTTCATCTTTCCCGATCACTGTGACCCAACATAGTCAATAGTGACGGACAATCACTTGGAATGTATAATGACAATCAGGCTCTAAATATGTATTATAAAACGTAGACCAATGATCATAAAAAATCATACCTCCGCCATCCTCCACTTAACACGACGATGATTTGTTCCGGACCGTTCTGAGGGCCAACAACAAGAACTAAGAAAACTTTGATATGTTGATGTTGCTCCAAGTGTAGAATATGCGTTTTGGAAACTTGTGTTTGTTCTGAGTGCTTGTCCTTTTGAATTAGATCCAGAATGATCCGGGCATCCCAAAATGCAAACCAAAGGACATGAATCCACCACCCATCCCACAAGCTCTACGAACTTCCCGCGATGTTCTGCCTTCCATCATGGACATCGTCACAAAGTGGAAGGCCAACTGCACGGCAGCCAGGTCCCTCGCGCCAGGGGTCCTCCGGGAAGGCATGGCCTGGCGCAACAAAGGGTTGTTACCGGTTCGGGTGGTTGGCTCAAGATAGCTTCAGGTTTAACATGGTTTAACTATATGCTGTTTATAGTAACCAGTTATATATAACTGGTTTAACATGGTTTAACCATGCGAAACGATGTCTGGCAAAGCATCCGCACAACTGCATGGACTCAAGTCGGCTGCGATCCCTCCAGGCACGAGGGTGAAAGAAGGATTAAAGAATCAGAGGCATCTTAAGCAAGGAGAGAGAAGAGTTTCTTGAAGGTGTCCTTTGCCTGGTAGGCCTTCGAGACCCCAGCCAAACCAACATTTAAAGCTAAAATCAACCCCAAAGTTTCGACCCAGCATTGAATGATGATACAAACTTTGGCCGCATGGGCCAACTTGCGAACTATTCACACCTATAAATGCATGTCAAAACATGACCTGTGTGACACACACGCACACGGCAGCAACACGTCTTCCATCTAAAGATTTGCATCATGTGATTGTGTTTGGGATATTCAAAGGAAGTTTAGGTGTGCAAAACTTCCGTGTTACGGACATTCAACAGCTGTTCAATACAGCACTCATCATGCACCACTCATCATACACCACTCATCATACACAACTTATCATACACCACTCATCATACACCACTCATCATACACCACTCATCAAAAAACCACTCATCATACACCACTCATCATACACCACTCATCATACACCACTCATCACACACCACTAGTCATACACCACTCATCATACACCACTGGTGAGATGACTCAGATTTCGTGGCAGGCGCAGCACTTTGTGAACCTCCACGTGCAGATTTCGTGGCAGGTGCAGCACTTTGTGAACCTCCATGGCAAGATTTCGTGGCAGGCGCAGCACTTTGTGAACCTCCAGGTGCAGATTTCGTGGCAGGTGCAGCACTTTGTGAACCTCCATGTGCAGATTTCGTAGCAGGCACAGCACTTTGTGAGCCTCCATGTGCAGATTTCGTTGCAGGCACAGCACTTTGTGAACCTCCAGGTGCAGATTTCGTGGCAGGCGCAGCACTTTGTGAGCCTCCATGCGCAGATTTCGTGGCAGGCACAGCACTTTGTGAACCTCCAGGTGCACATTTCGTGGCAGGCGCAATACAAAATGCGTTTTGGAGAGATAGCGGACGCACGACATGCTGTATTTTTCAATAGAACCGGTGGCTTCAAACCTGACAAGTCTAGCTCTGCGGAACGACGGGTGCGAGACGGTCTCAGGTCATTCTCGGATCATGCTCGGATCATGGTCGGGCATGGTCGGAATCGTCCCTCCATTGGGATTAGAGTTTTCACTTGTTTCTTGAAGTGCAGATTTCGTGGCAGGCACAGCAATTTGTGAACCTCCATGTCCAGATTTCGTGGCAGGTGCAGCACTTTGT